ATTAGCCTCCCATTGTCAATACAAGATACTTAATGTCATTAGTCTTTGTCAAGAAGACAGCAAGTTCCTTCTTCTCCTTCCTATAATCGGAATTAGTAAATCATTTTGCGATTTGCTACCAACCAATTTCCACCTTCTCAGCACTTCGATATATAAGATAATGTTTAGTGGTCAAAGGCACTTGTAACGTACTTTGTTATTAAAAAAGAGGAGGAATACTCAATTGTACATTTTTTAGTTTACATACATACTAAATACTTGTGTACCTATGTATACAAAAATATATGCGTGAGTGCATCTACATGCTAACATACATATACATATATTGATGTATTCATAGTTTATTTTTGGGCGCTTTTTTCTCGTAAACCAATCTTTAGTAAATTTCCTTCGTTACTTTTACTATTTTGCTTTCTCATATGTCAGTTTAGCTAAGACGACCTAATTCAAATATTAAAATTTTTGAGTTTATATGTGTATACATTTACATGCTATATGCATACATATGTATGTATGTTTGTATATTAAATAAAAGTAAAATTTTAAAATTGCATTGGAAAACAGGTGATTACGCCACCGAAGAAAGCATGAAAATCGATAATCGACGTTAAAACAATTAAAGTTAGCAATTAAAGCAAAGCAAGTAAATGCAAATGAAGATGTTAATAAATTCTTTATACATATAAATATGTATGTATATGGATGTAACTAACTATAAAAAGCATACAAATACATTTACCTTTATTTGGTTCACATTCATGAAATAAGCCGAAGATAGATTAATATATACACTGCCTTGGAAAAGTATGAACTCACTTGGAAATATTGTTTTGGTTTTTATGGACGGGTCGCTGCCAAAAAACCATTGTTGCGACCGGTAAACGTTCGTTAACGACTCAAATGGGCTAACAACATAATAACTGGTATATAGAACAATGGGAACAAGTGCTGTTATGGAGCGATGAGTACTAATTTGAAATTTTTAGTAGGAAACGAAGAATGTACTGCCGCCAGAAATCGAATGAACGGCACGTACCTCAATGAGGAAAGCCAGCAGTTAAGTTTGGCGTTGGTAGTGTGATGATATGGGGGTATTTTTGCTATGATAGTGTCGGCGCCTTGGTGAAAATCGACGGAAAAATACGGAAAGCAGACTATCACTGGATACTTCAGCGAAGCGCTATTCCATCTGGCATTTGATGGGGAAAGGGTTTGCGTTGCAGAATGATAACGACCCCAAACATTTCTGAAACTTCGTACGAATTAAATTCATGTGCTGTTGTGGGATGAGCTGGACAGAGGGGTGCGATAAACTGCCTGCAATCAGCGAAACTCACTTGTCGGAACGCCTTCAGCAGGGTTGGCTACAATGCGTGATCAGAAAGACTTCAGAAATTGGTGGAAAGCATGCCCAGAATTCGTGGGGCCATCGTCAAATCGAAAGGCCAACATATTGTTGAACAACGGCTCGATTGATTTTTTTCTTTTTTTCCACAAAAAAATTAAAAGAAAATCACAGAGAATTGTGAATTTATAAAATGTAACTCCAAACAAATGCGTTGTATAAATGGTCTGATACGAAAATTAAAGCGACAAATACAAAAAAAAAAAACATTTTTTTGAAGTGAGTCCAAACTTTTGCAGGGCGTACATATATACCATCAACCTAATGGAAAATGTGTGGGTTTTACTATTAGGAACAGTTTATGCAGACAAACGTCAATTTGAAAACGTTAGATGTATGAAGGCGTTTTCTTTTCTCGGTTCGAGAACGCCCTATCCAAGAAAAATTTTCAAGAACGCCCTATTTCAGAATTCGTTAAAAAAAAAACACTATATTAACATATATTCAATACATTTTCAGTTGAGGTAGGACGTTCTTCCTTCAACCAAATTCTGAGGTCAGGAGCGAGAAGGTTGGCAGCCGCCCCAATGAGTTAAGGTCGTTGCTTTGATTTTAAATTATTATAGGCACATAATCAAATTAAATACATAGTTGAAAATTTACGAGAATCACTCATAAAAAATATAATGATTTTCTTCAATAACTTTTGCTTGTGTCTTTATTTGTTCAAAAATATGTACACATACATAAATACTTAGAACTTAGTATATGTAGTAAGGGTAGTAAATAGAATCTCACGATTTTCTTCTGACTACATACTTATTTACGGAAAACATGAATGAAAGTGGGGGTACGTTTCTAAATATAATAATTTGGGGCATGTGCTTTACGCTGTACTCACTTGGCATTATGTATACTATATATATACATATCGCCACCTGAAATGCAAAAAGACGTAACAACATCGCAACTGAAGTGGAAAAGGTCGTGACTGATATTTTTATTTTTTCTTTTCATAAAATCATGTGGGTAGTTGTAATTCGATAGAATCTTAACTTTCATAACTTTTTTTTAGTTATGACTTTTTGCATTTCAGCGATGATGTTAGCTACGATTTTCTTCGCATTTAAGGTGGCGATATGTATTTATTTCCCCACTACGGGCAATAGAGCTACTATTCAGTTGCTGTGAAACATAATGTGAACCTGAGTTTAACTTAATTATATTGTACATTCATACGCATGTATGTATGTATGTATGTGTAAGCAATTCGTTCGTTCGTTTAAATTAATAAATGCTTGAATTTTGAAATGAAAAAATTATGTATAAATATTTTTATTTCAGATTATTACTTGGCGCAGCGCCTGGCTGCCAAAAATTGCCATGGCACTCAATTGAACAGTTCAGTGTACTTTTCTTTAATGAGCAACACAAATACATAAATAAAAATATATTTTAAGATTAAAGTTTTTGAAATAAATATTATTCGCATTTTTTATTATCATTTTTTTTTTTGATTTTTTTTCAATTTTGCTTTTTTGCATTTGCTTTCTTCTACTGTTTTTTGGTATCGCATAGTTTTCACTAACTAAAAACTAAATACTCGACTACAAATAAATATTTATAAATATACAATTTTATAAATAACCTAAAATTTAGTCATTCTCATGTTGATCATTGGAAAATATATAGCATCGATGTAAAAGTGATCAACTTTCATTGCATTAACTTAAATAGAAAGGATAGAGGAAGACGACAGAAGGATAGGAAGATTCGAAGATATTATAGCTAGAAATATTCTAGTGGCTTGGGATTGTGCCTTTATCAAATAGCTTGCTTCACATTTGTCAACATTTAGAAGGGTTGAGCCAAACCGTATTGGTTGTAGGCCAAGTCAGAGGCAGCAGCCTGGCCGTTGCGATTCCAGTCGGAGTGCACGATCTCGGCGTTCAGTGGGCTGCCGGTAATGTAGGCGGTCGTGATGTGTTCCTTCTTCTTGCCCAACAAGTCCTTGAAGAATGTGGCACCTAAATGCGCGTAAGAGAGAGAAATGTAAATATGTATGTACATTAATTTGCAGCTTAAAAAGTCTAAGATCTATAGGAATTTTACACTGCTACGCACCAGCAAGGATCAGAGCCAAAATAGAAATGGCCAAACTCTTGAGCGAGATGAATTTGATGATGCTGAAAGCAACCTTACACAGCACAGCCTTCTTCAGCTTCAAGATCAGGAGCAGCGGCAGAAGCATCTTCTTCATTTTCTTGCTGCGGGATTCTGAAACGTAGAAATGATGCATAATAAAAGCTTTGGTTAGTCAATGGCCTTTAGAAAAATTTAACAGACAAATTAAAAGTTTCATAGCAAAAATGTAATTTCTTAGGTTTGCACAAAATATCTAAACAAGCGTTAGCCACGGAAATTTGTGCACTGTATGTATGTGTGTAAGTGACCAACACATTGAAGTGGCAAACAGCGCCGGTCTGCAACTAAATATATTTACTAAACTTTCTACACAATGCACTGCGTAATGGTTTGGGTGAATAATGTGGTGGTGCCGGCAGTGTTGCCACCACTGCGGTGCAAAAGAAGATGAATGAATTTTTTGAATACAGTTTAGGCATTTTCAAAGGTTTTAACATTATTTGTGCTTACAAAATTTGAAAAACATGATTAAAGCTTAGAATCCAGCTCTCAAGAAAAATCACAAGGATTATTTTTTATTATTTCTATTGCTTGAAAATGCACTTAGCTTTTGCTGTAAACTTTCTTGAAGAATGTATATGTACATATTTTCTTGAGAGCTCCAAACAGACTTCAGAAATTTGATCAATGAAAATTTCTTTTCCATTTCTGCGCGTCATTTTATATTAATTTTTTGCCGACTTCAAAAATGGAGGAGGTAAGCAATTCGACGGGATATATATTTTTTTATGTATGTTACCGCATAGCTTTGAAGCACATTAACCGATTACTATAATTGTTTTAAGGGAAGGTAGTATCTCAGAGGTAGTTCCATACTAATTTGGTTTAGATTCGATCATTCGACCATGAAGAAATTAACGGTACTCTTAAATACTATATATGAGAATTGAAATCGGTTGGTTTTTTGCTTAAAATTTAATTGTTTGTTTTCTTGAGAACTGGAAACAGCCCTTAAGTATTTACTGAGGTATTGTAAAATTACTTTGTAAGGCATATGTGGTAAAATGTACAACCGTGCCCGTGCCATTTTTTCGGAAGGAAAAAGTGAGACCGCAGGCTGTAAAATATCAAATGTCAAAACTCCTTGAACACTACTAATCACACACACGAAATAATAGCATTTTTTTCTGACCGTTTTCTTAAAAGCTCTGTACCTAGAGCTTTATACATTGAAATAAGCAAAATAAGCATGATCGTTAAGCTTGGAAACCCGTGAGCAAGCAAAATAAGCAACTCCAAGCAAAAGCTTAAACTTTTCAGCCCTGGTTATAAATGCTGGTTGCCTGTGTTTGTGTATCTACTTGCCATCATCAAACTTGCCACCTAATACTTTTAATACATTATTAGAAAGAACAATGGTTTCTGAAGGAGCTGGCTTCACAGTCCGATTATTTCGATGGCCTCTTCAATAATTTCAATAAACTAAAATATTACCGAAAAATCAACCATTTGGAAGCAGTGAAAAATAAAGTTTTAGTTGAGTCATTACAAGATTTCCGGATAACAAATTTTAATTGTATCGAAAAGTAGAAAAGTGGCAGACTGCTCGCTCCCTCCCTTGGTTTTTCTGCTTTTGGCGAAACATGACGTTCGAAAATGCAAAGAATCATTAAAAGTATGCGTGTAATCGAATGGCTACTAAAATGACGGCTTTTATTATAATGTAAGTTTTAACTTAGCATAGCACAGTGGTTGCATTTATACGGGGAGAGCGGCCAAAAATACTTTTAATAATATAGAAATAAAATATTTACCGCTAGCTCTGTTAAGAGTAAAAAGTGTAAAATGTATGTATGTATGTTGTTTGTTTACAGCTCACTACATAACAAAAACCATGTAAGTCCATATTTCAAATTTTGTAGTAAAATTAGAAAAGTTCAACAAAAGTGTACAACAACAACAAACTTTTTGCTAAGAATTTTTTTAGAAAAAATCCAAGTATGCAATTTTATAGTCCAATCGCGTTGATTGGTGATAATTTTTTTACGCATGGTGTTCATATTCTCTTCAATACAAAAAAATATTTGGAGCATACCCGTAGTTGTGTGGAAAAAATGCGCTTTATTATACTAAAATGCTTTAATAGATGTATGCAACCACTGTGCTTATACAAGTAGTGCATTATCAAATCAAAAGCACGCCCCATGATGACATTCCGTTAACGCAACCCATTTGATGTACTCGTAAAAATAATTGCAAGCTGGCAACCCAGAGTGCATGTTGTTGCAAAGGTATGTGTTGATGAAAAAGTTTGCGATTCGCCAAAGTAACCTAAAAGTATGCAAGGCAAATGCGTCTGCACACCAACAAAACTTAAGCTATATAAAGAAAGTGGCAAAGAAAGTTTTGAAATGGCAACAGTAGTGGCTAAGTAGATTGTGGCTTAGTAGATGATTAGACGACAGAAATGCCATTTCATTAGAACCCAAAAAATTGTATAAGAACGTGATGCCACTTTGCTAATCTCACTTGTCCGGGTGCTGGCGCAAGCAGCTAAAGTCGTAAAGTGAAGTGAGCTTGAAGCACAGGACGCGACAAGAAACTGTTGAAAGTTGAAGTATGAGTGTGATCATAAAGCGTGGAAAACTCTTCACAGTATATACATTTTAAACTATGCACATACATACTTGGATATGTAAGCATGTAGTAAGTAGTTAGAAATTGAAGCTTTTGCCGCCTGTTGAATTATGCTTTTGATGTGCTTAAACTGGAAATTAGCTGCAGAAAGCATATCTGGTAATTGAATTTAATGCAGATAGCAAAAAAGTTACATTTTCTAGCTTTTCATCACTGCGTTGCTGGGTTATTACGACTCGACTTCGCTAAGTATGCACATATATTTCTAATGACTTTATCGCTCTCCAAGTTTGTGCAAGACGCCGCCTTACTTTGTTGCCTTAAAATGTTGAGGGGCTTAGCTTAGCGGCAAGGTTTGAATTTATGAGTTTTGAACGCACCTTTACTGTTAATAGTTAACAATTAATGGAACTTAAAAATGTGGGCTTTGGAGGTAATTGCTCCTTCGTTGCTAATTAAATTTGTTTTTAGTGCTGGTAGTGTGTGTGCTTGCAAAAATTTAAAAATGAAGATTTTAACGTGAAAATTTATTTCGAATAAAAATCTTTTGTACGGTACCTATATAAATTTAATTTTAATAATTTTTTCTGCAATATTCAAATTAAGAAATTTGCTTACCTGTTGGCCTCTTTATTGTTAAAGATTTTATTTACAACTAAAGGTGACTAAATTTAACACAATTTTTGAATTTTTAAACTTTCTATTTCTTTACTATTGCACAAGAATTCGATTTATAGTACATTCCCACTAAAGCTTAGCTGCAGTTCATGATTCATGTGAAAAGTAGATTACAGCCCCAATTGCTTGTATAGAGTAATAAAAGGAAACGGAAGTAAAAAAAGTAAAAAGGCAAAAGGTAAAAAATAAACCTATCATCATCCCATGCTAAAATTCTAGGAACTTGCTTCAGCTCTTAATTGCAGTTAAGCTTTTGGTGGTAAGGGTTATTACTCAAAAAATTTTGATGCAGAAATAAGATACATTTTTAGTAATTTTCTTGAATATTCAAATTAAGAAGGTTTTATATTGACCTCTTTTTTCCAAAGATGTGAATTAAAACAAAAAGTGGTTAAATTTACACATTTCCATTTCTTTAATTTGCAGTATATCGCATTTGAACTAAATTTTGAAAGAAATTGCATTGAGTGTATATTAATTTATTAATATTATATTATTATTAAATTAAATAAGCAGTATTTTTCTTTAAAGTTTTAAATTTTTTTTAAATTAAATTATATTGGTATTCATTTTCTTTCAAGTAAAAATTAATTAATTTAATTAAAAAAATTGAATTATAAAAATTGTATTTTTTAATTGAGTGGTTATTTCCAGTTTCATTAATTAATTTAAAAATCTACAGCCTTGACCTTATGTATTAGGCGCCCCATTATTAATGATTTCTAGATTTTCAAAGTCAAATATTGTTTATTTACCAGTAAATTATAATTATTAAAGTATTAAGAGATTATAAAGAAAAAATATTAATATTTGGCCCGTCACACTTTGATTCGGTCGACAGAAACGTAGATTAACCGCGAATACACAGTTTTATAGCCCCACACATTTTAGCATAATAAAGTGCGAAATGCGAAAAAACCCCTTTAATTTTTGATGTTTTTTTTTTTGTGATAGTAGTGTGCATTAAGGGAAACTCAAACTTATGCTGCATTTCCACTAGGCATTAAATGGCAGAAATTTTAATGACAAACTTGGGCATTAAAAAATATTCTTGTCATAACTTAAAAAAAAAAAA